ATTTCAAGACGATTGGCGGTTCGAGCGATTCGGAAGTATACCCTTCGTTTCGATCTAACGCCGAGGCTGAGGTACAACTCTCCCAAGAAATGAGATCTTCCTCTCTCAGGTCAGGTACATCTGCACCATTTTCCTTTCTCTTTCTACCTAGCGCAAGCAGGCGGTATCTCAGGTACAACTGGAGCTGCTACCTTGCACAATTTCCTAGAAGGAGCTGTACTCGAAACACAGCTACAGTAGTGTTCAATGAAGCCTTACTCGGATGATCGTGTTGCACTCACATACTCCCATGAGTGCAACACGATCATCCGAGGAAGGCTTTATTGAACACTACTGTACAACTGTGCAATAATAACACCCTTCGTTACTCCGTTGCTCTTTTTTCGCTCTTATGTACTTGGTCGAACCAGGGTACATCCGTGTAAGACCTCGTGCATAATTTCCGTCTACGCCATTGTGAACCAACCCTGTAGTGAAGAGGTACAACTCGACCTCTACAGAGTTGATGCACTAGGTAGATTCTTCGACCCAAGGTAAATCTTGGGGGAAGATGAATATTTTAACCTTCATTCACTATTCGCACTAAGCTTCGTGTTGGGCATGAATACCGAAGAGAGAATCGGTATCTAGAAATCTTGATATTGAAATGTCGATCTAGCGTGCACGACCCTAGTAATCGTCTGTACCGTTGCCTAGGGGTAATTTCTATAGTTCACCCTCGCTAATAAATAAGCGTTTACATCGGTTATAATCCAAGGTGTCGGTAAACTAACGTAAAGTAACGTAAGAATCGAAATGTTAAATATTAGAGAAATGATTATAACTATCACTAGCAAAACGGTAAACCTCATAATTCACTAGAGTCAAGGTTATTGAAATGTTTAAATGATTTACTAGAATGTTATCAGATAGAAAATTAACGAACGATATTTTATTATTAGTATTTCTACGATTTATTTCGTTAATCTAAATTTATTTTATTTATTACTAAAATATACTTTCTTACGAAGGTTTAATTAATGCCTTATTAATGATTACAACTTTACTCTAAATCATAGTATAAAACGGTCCTTAACCTAAACACTGTTTTGACCAAGTACCCGGACTCCATTCGGCGAGCGAATTCTTTTGGCAATTAAAAATCACGATCATTACAAAGTGGTTATCTTTATTCTTAAAACGAAAACCAAACATTACAAAACGAAATGCAGAAATTATTTCAAAAGCAAGAGCATCAGTTACTGGAACAAATTTACGAGATTGGTTCGCAAAGTTAGAATTATATTTGAGGGAGAACAACTGTTTGGATATATTAAATGATATAGGGTCAGAATTTCCCAAACGGATCACCTAAAACTAAAAAAATTTATTTTTCATCTATAATATTTTTTTATACCTACTATGGTTAAAAAGAAGCCCTAAAAATATTAAGTCAAAAAAATTTTTTTTGTAAAAGTTATTAACAATTGAATTTTTTAGTAGTGCAAAATTAACAAATTTTTTTCTCGAGTTCCAGTGGACGGATTTGAAAATTAAAATATGGGTTTTTCGTCTTGAATTGCACTATTCGAATATATTTTTTGTTTTAAATTTTTTTTTTATTTTTTACAATTTTTTTTATTATTTGTTTATAAAATAAATAATTGTAAATAAATAATAAATAATAATTATAAATAAATAATTGTTTGTTTTTAAACAAATGTGTTCTTCACGACCTAACAAAAAAATAAAAATTGTATTATATTCCTTAAACGTCTCCGATTCCAAAACCGTTTCGAAAAAAATTAGCCTCAATTAGAAAAAAAGTTATTTATTAATAACTGAAGCTGTGTAAGGCTTTACATGACGTTAAACTTGCGCCGAGTGGCGCAAGCATTGCCGCATACATCTGTACGCACTAGTTCTCGCTACATGTTTGCACAAATTTTAATAGTAATAGCTAGTTAACAGTAACAAACAATAAACAAAGTAAATTTTTTATTTTTTAATAAATTATTAATAATTAATAATTTATTTACTTTACATTAACATTTTAAAATTACATTTTAAACAGGAAATATTCGACGCATTCTTATTATAATCTTTGGGCTTGAAAGTTCATTAATTATTAAATAATATAATATAAATGAATTAATACATTACATATAATTAATTAATAATATTATATTATAATTAATCAATATACATTTATTAACTTATTATTTTTTGCCGACATTGAATTAGAAAAAATATTTATTATATATTCTTTGATAGTCTACTTTTTTTTGTTTTTTATGACTGTGATGGAAATTGATGATTTTTTGTTTTTAAAGGAAAACAAATGAATATTAAGAGTATGTCAGTTTCTCACTTTCGTGTACAATTTCTAATTCAATTTTAGCAGCGAAAAAGTTTTAAAAAATTTAAAGTGAACGGTGAAATTCAATTCATTTGAAATTTTAAAAACTTTTTTAATGGTAATTTTATAAAAATGGTGCGTCCTAACAGGAGTTGTAATCCTTATGAAAAAAAACATTCTTGTGTATATAAAAGTGTTAAACTAATAACCGAACATTGAAGTGCATCGTTCTTCAATTTAATCGGGAAATATGTGTGTAATTCGTGCAGAATCTCCATTGAGAAAGATATTTCTTGGGAAACATTGCAAGAATCTAACGTTTCTGTGTCTCCAGATTTTGAAACTAGTTCGGTCGACAGTTCTGATTCTGAAGATAAATGTGGCGATCCTTCATATCAACCGTCAAAAAGTGGATTAAAAAGATCAAGTAATGCTTGTCAAAATGAAGAGGAAAATTCATCGAATTGTAAAAGAAGGGATGTGGGACGAGAAAAATCAAACAGAGAGTTAAGACAAATTAGTGACATGCGATCTGCATACTCATTCGAGACAACAAAAGATCATGTTATTAAGGTGGAGTGACACCTTTGAGGCCTCTTTTGAACCTGTTTTTTATGAATTTTTTTAAGACACGGGAATAAAGTAAACAAAATTTGGTTTTGAGGGATTTATTTGTTTACTTTTTAAGTTTACAAAAATATATTTATACGTAAAAAAAGTTTAAATTTGTTGCCTATAGAGGGCGCCGAAGTTGGTCTCCATTCTCTGCAGAGCAAATCGGTGGGCAAGATTCCGGTTAGACCGTTTAATCTAAATAAAAAATTCAAAGTTTTTCTGAATCTAAGATAGATGTAGCTTTCAAGTACGTAGGATATTTTAAAAATATTAATTTTTGTGTATGTGGCAGTTGTTTGAAGTGAAAAGTCGATTTTTAGGGCGAAAATTTGTCAAAAAATCTATTGCCAAAAAAAACAAAGAAACCAAAAAAAAACCTCTACGTACTAGAAAGCATTAGTAAATGACGATTAAAAAAAACGTTGTCCGAAGTCAATCCGATCAAAACTGTTCTAGCTAGACTGCCCACCGTTTTGAAAAACGTCATTTCGAGAAAAACGCGTTTAAAGTTTTGAAAGCACTTGAAGCGCTCTTGGACACCTTTTACAGATTTTGATTTTTTAACATAAAATAACTTCGAAATCATCTCTAATGATATAATTTCTATTCTACACATTATAAAGTATCGTTTAAGCAAAGAAAAAAATTCGATTTTTTTTCGGGTCAAAGGTGTCACTCCCCCTTAACCACCTTGCCAATAAACTATAGCATTCGAAAAATGCAAAACGAATTTAATATTTCTCGAAAAATGGCATCAACGGCTAAAAAATTAAGGCAGTCGTCCGGCTACGGATCTTATCCTCAGCCAAAACGTGGTCGTCCGTTATCTCTTGATATTTTTGAAAAAGTTGAACAGTTGAACAGAAATTGAAAATCCAATATAATACACGATATCAGGAAGTAAAATGATAAAATTAGATGTGCCCATTAGGTGCTGCCCTCTGGTGGTAATTGTATGTATCGCGCATTTGTTTAATTTTTTCCTATTTTACTTCCTGTCGTTGTAAATCTAAATAAATCTTTTACTTCTTGGGCGCAAATGAAAGATAAATTATTCAGGATATCTTGTATTTTCTCCAATTTTACAATAATTGCCCGAATCGGGAGAAAAATCATTTTCAAATCAAGTATACATTTGAGCAGCCATTTTTAAAAGGCGATCACTGCGGAACACCATTAATATATTGATAAGTAAAATTAATCAAATTTAAAGTATGAATAGTGATTTTTAAAGGGGTTTTCACGGGCTATAAGCTGGTGACTTTTTTTCTATGAGCCATGTAAAAATCAGAGTTAGACTATGAGAATTTTTGAGGAAAATAATAATTTATCATTATTTTACATAGAAAATGATGATTTATAATTAATTTCTTCAAAAAGTTCCATGGTCCCACTCTGATTTTTACCTGGCTCAAAATTTTGAAACTCCTTAACTCAAAAAATATTTTACCAAATTCAAAAAAAATTGATATTTACACTTCTACTAATAATAGTAACATTTTAGCAAAGTTTAGAGAAAATTCATTTTTTTACCTGGCCAGTTGAGGAATTTTGCCCCATATGTTCGTAATTTGTGGTTACGTTTTATTTTTTTACTCCGAATTCCTTTGAGATCTCAAGGTGAAATTTACAGGACATGTAAAGCACATTTGCCCTAACATTTGGTAAAATTTTGAAAAAAATCGAAGATGATGTTTTTTCAAAAACGGATTTTTAATTTTTCAAAATTTAAAAAAAAAAAATTTTTGAATTTTTTTTTATATTAATTTTAACTTAAAATATACTTAAAACCAAAGAAATCCTTTTTTTAAAATCCAAAATCGGTTAATTAGAACCAAAGTTATAGCACTTTAAAAAAAATGACAAAAATTTTGAAAATGACATATTTTTGGTAATTTTCAAAATTTTGAAAAAATATTTAGTGGAGTTGTTTATCACTATAAAAGTAATAAATTTACAAAAGTACAGCCAAATCCCAACAAGTCATGAAAATAAGTGTGTTGAACAGACGTGGAATCCACCTATTATAAAATAAATATAAATTAACTTTTGCTTCTAATTAATTATGTATTTTGATAATTTCTTTATACATCTGTGTCTATACTACGTAATACAATATTCTTTATCTTCTATTTGCCAGGAGCATTTTCGACACGTAGCTTATTGCCTAGTTAATAACTAACTGAATTCAGGCAGATAGAAGAATGCCCATCCTCCACATATTTATTCTTCTATTTGCCTAAGTTTAGCTTAAAGCCCAGAAATTAAGCTAAATGCCTGATTCTTCTATTTGCCTGACACACATATATATGTATATAATAAATTACAAGAAAATATTAATGATAAACAATTTATTAGGAAAGAAAATATTTAATTAAAGTCCTGTTTTGTCTTTGATCCAATCACGGAAAAATAAAACGTTTGTGTAAATTCCAGGTAATCCATGCGTTCCACATTTCACTCCTTGAGAAACAACTCCGAGTACTATTGTATCATCATTTACCAATGGGCCACCAGAATCACCCTAAGAATATTTAATTTAAAATAACACATATTTTATTTATAACATGATTTAAAATTAGGAGCATGGAGAGAATTAAAATTAATTTCTTTACACTTACTTGACATTTATCTAAAGTGAGTGTTGAGTTGTGAAATCCATAACAAATTTGATCCTTGTGAAATCTTATGTGGTGACGACGATGCATCCTTGCGCATTTGCTTGTTTTCACTCTTGGTACTCTAACTTGTCGTAATTTTGTTGAAGCTTTTCCATCTGGCTGTTAATAATAAATAATTGTTTGAAATTTTTCTATTTTTATTTAAAAATATGTTAGTGTAGTAATTAACTATAATGAATATATTTAATTCATTTTCAATTCTTTTAATTAAATTAATTAATTAAATTTATTTAATTTTAATAATTAACTTGAACCAATTTTATTGATTTGATCGTTTCTTTTTAATTTTAATTTATTAATTTTTTAATTAATAGGTATAATATTTATTTATATAAAAAATTGTTTTTTTTTAAATCACATAAAAATAAAATGACAAATGAAAAAAAATAAATTAAAATTGAAGTGTCAAGAAGCAAAATTTTTAATTAAGAAAAAGGGGCCTTTATACCCTTTTTCCCTAACTAATCGAAACCATCAAAATTAAAAATTCGATTTTTTTGGTCATAAGCTCCCTTTTCTTAAACGCGGTTACATATAAGCTTACGTCTGTTTTGCCCCATCCGGAAATTGTTGCATGACTGATCTTGAGACCTTTTTGGCCTTTTTGTGGTAACTTTAAGGGTTTAATAACTTCATTCAACTCTAAAGGCGGATGAATTTTTATTACTGCAATGTCGTTTTCAGTAGAACCATTTGAACCTATACCAGTGAAATTTTCATGTTGAATATATTTAACAACGTGATATGTTCTTGCTGTTGTTGCTCTTCTTCTGGTATCGGCAGTACCAGCAAGGACTCGCATATGATTTACGTCCTTATCTGGACTGAAAAACAATTTTATTTCAAAAATATAATTTCACGTTTTTAAATTTTATAATCCTACATAGATACAGCAATTTTTATATACAGAAAATATACCTAAATATTAAAAAAAATTAAATTGAATAAATAAAACAAACAAAATAAAATGTGAAAGTAATTAAATAACGATATTAAAAATTATAATAATTAATATTTATCTACTTTAAGAAACAATGAGCAGCTGTTAGTGCCCATTCCTTATTAAGTATTCCTGCCCCACAAATACTGGCCTTATGTGAATGGATTCTTGGTATTGTGAGCCGCAACTAAAGTATTTAAATAAATTAGTTAATTTTTTTATTTAATAAGAAAATTCGACGCCTCCTGTTCATATAATGCTTATTGAAAAACAAATGCAAGATCATTCTTATTTAGTTTTTAGTGCAAGACAATTCTTATTCGATTTTCCGGGCAATAAAATACTTATTCAAAATTCTATGCTAAAAAGTACAATCTGAAATTAGCTTACACTATGAGTTTTATAAAATTGTCAATTGAATATAATTTTTAATTACAATTGCTTAAACAATATTTCTTAATACGTAAGAGATAATTAAGTATTAAATTTTCTAATAACAATAGATACGCACTGAAATTCTCAGATATTTAATTGCAATTTAATATTAAAAAGATGATTTAGGGTTACATTTATTGTTCTGTCAGTGGCAATTGTTTTGCACACAATTTTGAAAACCGCTGCCAAGTTGTACATTTTTATAATTTTGGTGTTCATTTCATGAACACTTTGCTTCCTCATAGAAATAATAATAATTGAAATATAAGAATTACTTTTTATAAAAGGGTTAAAAATCATTAAATCTTGGTCCAAAAAATGTGTTTTTATATATTCTATAAGATATGATAATAATAGTTTAATAATTACATATAAATTAATAAACAAGAATGTTGAAAAAATGATATTTTCCACAATTCTTGATTTTTCAAATACCAATAATTTCATAATTTCTGCCCGAATCAGGTTAAAAAATAGGTCAAACGAAGCGTTTTTAATGCTCTTCAAGTTGGTAATAATTTTTTGAAGTTACTTTTACATAATTTAAAAAATTTTTTATAAAAGTCTTATTTTTCAAAATTTTAGATTTTTAAAAGTTTAATATCTCCGGTCAATATGGACGAAAAATGTTCAATTAGGGCTCAAAAGATGCGTCTGAAAAAACTCTACAAAACTAAATACAAAACAAAACTAAACTTCTACATTTTTCAACAAAATTTTCAAAAAAGTCTTATTTTCTAAAATTTTTGATTTTTTAAAGTTTAATATTTCCGGTTAATATGAACGAAAAATATTCAATTAGGGCTCAAAAGACGCGTGTGAAAAAACTCTACAAAACTAAAGAAAAACATTTATAAGTGTCCTAACATTTTTTTAAGTTACGTCCAAAAAACGTTTTTTTACAAAATGAAAAATGCAAAAAAAAATAGTTACACTTCATGAATCGGGCTGAAAATACTCTCATTTTATGTCCCCCGGGGAGACCTACAATTTAAAAAAAAATTGAGGCCTTTAGCTCTTTCTTATTCTGAGATATTGAGACAAATGTAATGTTAGTACACACACACACACATCGGGACAAATTTTTAAAATCCGTTTTTTGGACTTCGGTGTTCAAAATACGTCGAAATTTTTTTTTATTTATTTAGAACATTTATACGGGGAGTTCCTGTGCATATATAAAGTACTAAAGTATTAGGCATAATAAAAAAAAAATTTATAAATATGTCAAAAAATGACAATTCAAAATTTTGCTAATACAAAGCTTCCTTTATGAGGAAGCAATAAGCATTTTATTGCACAGAAAATCGAATAAGAATTGTCTTGCACTAAAAACTGAATAAGAATGATCTTGCATTTGTTTTTCAATAAGCATTATATGAACGGGAGGCGTCAAAATAATTTAAAAAAATTTATTTATGTTTTTTAAAAAATAATTTTTTTTATTTCTCAGAGAATTCAAATAATTTTTTACTACATTCTTACCATATAAGGTGCCTGTTTTATATCAATTTTATTTCCTCCAATTATCCTATTCTGGCCCAATGTTACTTCATTTTTTACTGCAGAAGAGAAAAAATTGTTAAAAGATAAATAAAAATTTTAATTATTATTATTTATCTCATATTTTGCAAACCTTTTTTTATGTATTTATATTATTTAAATTTTTTTATTATATAAAAGTAGTGCATAAATTTATAAAAAAGGACAAAAAAATAGTTTTATTTAAATGTTCATAAAATTAATTAAAATAACTCACAGGATAAGAGAAAAATTGGCAGCAAAAGTGAAATATTTATAATGAGTTTCATTTTTTCGACGTACAACACTTCGACGCTATTGAAGTGTATTGTTCACTATTGTTATTCGGTACCATTTTATACTTGAAGCAGAAACCGGATCTCCAAGTTTCCTTAACTATGATATTCAATTTAATAACTTATATTAATCAAAGTATAGGCTACTTTATATTTTATCAGCCAAAGAAAAGACTGACATTATAATTAAAAAGAAAAGATAATTATTCAATTTTAATATTGAAAAAGACCTTCACAATTTATCAAATTAAAAATTATTTTGTTCCTTTATTTTTCAATTAGCAGAATAATATAACTTTAATTTCAATTAAATTCACATCTAAATAAATGTTTTATTTAGATTCAGTGTAATTTATTTGACTTTAATAAAAACTCCCCAAAGACAAAAGAACTTACCATATTTGAACTTCTTTATCGCCAGAATTCATCAAAACAATTTTACACTTTTTTAAATAATTATTTTCGACAATATTTATTCAATTATTAATTTTAAGATCAACTCTATTTTTGCTGAATACATGTTAAGAAAAACCTCCACCTTGCAGGTATTATAAAACACTTAAACGTCCGCTTCTTGCGGAAAACCAAAATAATACTCTACCGTCCCGCAGAAGGAATCAATTCAATCTATTCGATTAATTCATCAAAAAGTGTATCAATTTAAACTCTTCGATTAATTCATTAAGATTTGATAAATGATTGAAATAATTTTACATTTAATAAAAGGAAATAAGGAAAATAATAAATAAATAATTCTTTAAAAATAGTATTAATAAATAATATTAATAATATTTATAATAAATTGCAATAATAAATTATTTTCATTTAATTTTAATAAAACTCAAGAATATTAAAGAAATAATAAATCCTTATATGTAATGATTTTATTGTTTTAGTTTTGCATTTTAAAATATAACTTTAAAGTGAAGTTGCGTATATGTTGTACACTATCAGCGGGTGACCAATATAGAAATATATTGTAGGGCTGTGAAGCAATTGAGCATGTTAGATCCTGGGACTATCGCAAACGTTACCTTTTATTACCATCATTAGTGTTGATGACACCAGTTGTCGACTCTACATGCTCGCATTATTACACGGCAAAGAAATAAATGTACATATCTCCATGTTTCTCGACATAGTAATAAAAAGAGAGAGAAAAAATATCTGAAATATCATTGCCCATTGAGGCAAAAATGTTAAATAGTTAATGTTCATCCATACAAACGGAAAAAATGTAGTTACTTATTTCTTTTTCATAGCATGGCGATTATAAACTCAATAAACTTTTTCTTATTAGGTACTAACTAAGCTAATGAATTTGATATTATTGTTAAAATAGAATTTCGATGAAAAATTTCTTGATTTTTAAACTTAATATTATTAATAATATTAATAATAATTATTATAATTATATTATTATTAATAATATTATTAGGTAATATTATTACTGAATAATAATAATAGACTAATTAATATACATTGAATACTATTTATGTAAATAATAAAAAAAGTCAAATAAATATTTTAATATACCGTCAACCGGGGCTATTTTGTGCACCAAATAGCTTTTTTTTTCCTCAAAGATTTATTAAAATTCAGAATTGGAAGAATAAAGAAAATCAACTTTTGATATATGTTGTGGACATCCTTCTGAAGGTTTCCTATAAATTTGGCAAAGAAAAAAATTTTTTTGTCTTAGTTATAGTCATTGAAAGTCGTGCACACAATAACTCCCGGGATGGGGCTATTTTGTGCATCGAACTTTGTTTTTCTATAATGTTGCGTAAACATTTTTTTTAATCGTTTCTGCTTCATGAAATCTTTTGTCTATATATTTGAGAGTAAATTAAAAAAAGAATGACCTAGTAAAATTTTTTTTGTAGATATATTATACAAAAAATGTAAAATAAAGCACTAAAATTTTGCTAAAATCTGGATTTACTAAAAATTAACAATCTTTCTTTAAATTGTATATTACGCAGATAGTAAATAACATTTTTTTCTTTTTTAATATATATTTTATAATAATATACTAATATAATTATAAAATGATCGTTTAAACACTTATAAATAACTTTAAAACATCATTTCAATAGGAGCTTTTTTAATGGTTTTGAATGATATTTTTAAAAATCTTGAAATAAATGTTTTTAAAGTTAAATAGATAACAATTTAATATCTAATATACTTTTCAAGTTATTTTAAGAGAAACGAGAAAATAGTTTTAAAACTAATTTGAAAAACTTATAAATATTAATTAAAGTTCATTTTTTGAGGTTACGTTGCGCACCGGTTAAGGTTTTAATCGTTTTAATGATTTTAATTAACGCATTTACAGTCTTTTGACAAAAAAGTAAGACAAAAATGTATAAAAATGATACACAGAATCTTCTTTACTTACTAAATAAAACATTTATGAAAAATATTTGATTTTTTTAAGTGCACAAAATAGCCCCATGGAATCCTGGTTTTTCAGTTTTTTCCACTTTTCTCTTAAAATAATGAATAAAAAGTTAGCGCATTACGTATGTATCATCACAACACAATTGACAACAAATATCTAACTCAGTTTATGAGACACATTAAAACTCTAGAAGATCTGGTATAATTTTTCCGAACTTTCAAAATTTTTGACACAAATTTTCCGTTTTTAGGAATTTTTTTTTCTTAATTGACAAAGAATTAAATAATAACATTTAGTGCTCTCTATTGTCATGTAATCAAACTTTTATTTTACAAAATAGCAGATTAAAATAATTCATTTTAATAATTTTTTTTATTAAAAAACTCGCGTGCACAAAATAGCCCCCGGATGCACAAAATAGCCCCAGTTGACGGTAATAATTTTAAATTTATAAAAAAATTTATATATGTAAAATTTTATTAAACAATTTTCAATTGTTATTTTGCTCTAATTTCAAACAAATTTGAATGTAACATTCATTCAACATTTGCCAGTATTATTCCCTCCACTATTTTGAAGCCAAATAATAAGTCTTCTGTCGATGTTTGATTGTCATAAATTTATTGGCGCCTAACAATGATCTAATTATGAGACCGGCAATTAGAAGTTTGCCGGTTATCTACCTTCGAGAGTCAGAAAGCTCTTCAGTAATTTCAAAAAATATTCATTGCATTTACTTGAAATTTTGAGAAAATATTTTAGAAAAAGAAATTTGTAGCTAAAAAAGGAAGTTTGAATTATAAAAGGAACATTAAAAGTTATCCTCTATTAAATATCTTTTCAAATGAAAAGAGTTCCTGTTTTTAAAGGTGAATATTTTTAAATTAAAAAATTTTTTAAGTAATTTACAAACGAAATAATTCTCTTTTATTAAGATTTTCTTTTTTCAGTTTAGTTATCGAAAATGACGTTTTAAATTTAATCAGCCATACATGTAAATGAAGTGAGAATTCTAAATAAAAGAAATTGTGCAAAGCTGTATCGTCTAAAACCGGTGCACTTCGCCGTGTGTCATCGTCTGGTCATGCAACGCGATTTTTCCTTCTTTTTGGTCCTTTTACCTTTGTATACCAATACTAAACTACAACTTATTTTTGCCCCACAATACAAGCACATCATATACACAAAATTATTTTTGACAAATATTGCATTGCATTCGTCCGCATATGCAATCTCACTCGCATTTCTTTACTCTCAGAACGCGAGTATTATCCTCACATACTTGACGTGCATGAAATTTTTCAACAGAAAATACGCCAAATAAAACAAAAATAAACTACCCTCGAAAGTTATGGCTACGGCTCCATGCGCATGGCCCAAAAACATACCAATCTTTAAATCACGATTTTTCTGTAAAAACATATGTCACAAAATTAACAAATATACCATTCGAAAGCTAATTATATTCCTGAATATATGATATAAATGATCTTAAATAAATTTCCTTTAAATACTTTAAAAGGCCGAAGTAATAAGAAAATATCGATGCAAATTGATGAAATAAGTGGAATAATAGAACACTTTCAGCAGAAAATAAAGTAATTAAAAACGTTTAACTGAAACTTAGTAATGACAAAGGGAAGAAAATGCAAGTTTTTTCTTTTTTTTTATTTGCAAAAAGATAGCCCACGGTATAAAACCATTAAAGAGCGCTACATAATATTACAATATTGATAGAAATACAGCGTAGAAATAAGTATAATATTCGAAAGCATAATCATTAAATAAAATAAATTAAAAATTAATATCAGAAGTTATCTAATAGACATGATGTATCCTAACAATACTTTTTTGAAGTTTGTTTGCGTTGTGTTATTTAAATCAATAATTTGTTCAGAACGTGAGTACATTAGGTTAATTATGTTACACATTGAATGTATTGGTGCTGTAAAGTCAATTGCAGATCTAGGCATAGGTAAAGAAAATGGTTGATGATAGCGTGAAGTTATTCTAGGCACTCTGAAATCTATATAATTCAAAAGGTTCGGGCAAGAGATGTTATTGTTAAGTAGCTTAAATATAAAAATAGCTTAATCAATTAATCGTCGTTCGGCTAGAGTTAAGAAATTAAAATTATTACAATGAGCAATGTAATCTGAACCAGGAAGTGGATATATTTGTGTCTTACGGAAAGTCAAATACTTCAAAAACCTTTTTTGGATTTTTTCCAAAGCATCAATATATTTGAAAACAATTGGATTCCATATAATTTGAGCATAAATAAATTTTGATAAAACTAATGCATTGAACAAAGTAACAAGGCAATCAAGGTTCTTGAGACACTTAGAGTTCCGTATTAAATATCCTAGAGCCTTCGTTGCTTCAAATCCAACCATTTGAACTGAATATAAAAAAATGATAAGCAAACTTTTTTTCTGAAGAAAGTTTAGACAATTACTTTGTAGAAAATAATATGTCAGCAAATCAAATGAGAAAACTTTCAACTTTTGTTCGTTCACAATCTTGTAGAACATCTGTGTCTACTAATTATCATTGTCATGTAAGTGAAACAATAAACTCCTTAAAAGAAGTATATAAAAGTAATGATACATTTGAATTTGAAACAATTACATCGAAAACAAACAAAAAGAGACCGCAGTGATATGGGCCAATGCATCGGAATTAGTGGAAGCTGTGATAAAATCACGAAATTTAATTGGGCATTACAAACTTAAAGTTATGGCTGACAGAGGACAGAGATTTTTTAAAATATGCATCTCGATAATTCCGGAAAATTATAAATCAATAATTGATGATAATTGTAGCAGTAAAGATGATAATCATGAGCCTAAGAAAAAAATATTTAAGTTTAAAAATGCGAAAAACTTAACGTACTCAAAAACAAAATTAACAAGTGTTAAAAAACTATTAATGCTTTGCATCGTTCCTAATATAAAAGAATCATGAAAATTATTTGAAATAATAGGTTTTAATAAAAGTCTATTTAAATTTGTAGCTGATTTTAAGTTAATGCTTATTGTTAATGGGTTACAAACCGCATCTGCTACATATCCCTGTCCATATTGCTTCGCAAAATTGAAAGAATAAAAAAGATCGTGCGTTAAAGATTCGTTTTCGTTCTCTTTAGCATACGCGAAAAAAGTGTGTTTACTACACCCAGAATCAAGTGCAACTCTGGAGGTGGAATAATGTCCAAAATTGTCTTATCTTCGTGAAAATTCAATAACGGGGAATACATGCAGTTGAAAAAATTTTTTGCTTTCTTCTTGAAACTCCGGCTGCTCGCCAATTATCGTAGTTTAATAGTGAATTTTTTATGATCCTAAAAAAGCCACAAAGAAGGAGATTGTCTTTTTTCTCGTATCACCAAGTGGAAGGGTAAGCACTACTATAGGACATAATACCAATCAGAATGTTTGCAAACTTTAAATCCGTTGCCTCCATCGATGTCCAATTTCAAATGAGCTTCTGTTATTTTTCGTTGAATTTCAACGTAATGAATAAAGGAACGTGGATCTGTATAAACGACAACTTTGGTAGCATTAGAAATTGTCTTGGCTTTTACATCAGAAAAAGCAAAGTCTTTGTAACCGAAAAAAATCATCTACAGCGTTTTAAAGTTTTATTTTAAAGTTTTGAATTTAGTCTAGGTCATTTTCGCTTTTTTGTGAAGCAGTACAGATGAAACTATTTGATCATATATCTTTCTTGATGATTCCAATAAACAAGAAGATAAATTTGTTACTCGATAAAATAAATTAAATTTAAGAGTCTTTATTCCTTTTCCAATAACACTGAAGCAAAAATTGCAGCGCTTTTCTTTCTCTTATCAGGAAATATACATTAATTAGCGCCAGTTTTTCTGCTAGTTGTCACAAATTGCTTGACTCCTCCCACTCCCCTTAAATCGTGACATAATGTATGGACGAACTCATATGAATAAAATAATAATTAAAAGTTTTTGAAATTTCAAAATGAGCTCACCAGAAAATTTACTCTTTGAACATTTCCTTGTAATATAACAGGTTGGCTACGTGCTATGTCACAAAATCTACAATCACAATTCTTATTATTTTTATACCACGTATACATTTCTTTAATAGAGAGAATGATGAAAAATCTGAACTACCTATATTTTTCTTTTCAGCTAATGCTGGGAATTTATTACGATTTTCTTGTGGATTTTGGATCTGTGAAATTTATTTCACAGATCCAAAATCCATAAGAAGATTTCGAGTACAAAAACCTTTTATAAAAAATTAAAAACCCATTTCAGGTGCACCTTGAATAATATGTAAATTAAATGTTGGAAAATAAAATCTTGGTGTGACTTCACTGATCAGTTTTTTCTCTCAAGGGACTTATTGAAATTGAATAATTTTACTATTAAAGATACTGAAAGAGTCAACAGATGTTTATGCTGAAGATGATTTTCTCTTTTATGTTTGAAAGGACTTTAAAATAGAATCCAAAGAGTCGCCTAACTGTCTGGTTTCTCTTGCGGCGAGTATATTTAAATTTTTATTTTATTTCTTTTTCTTTGAAAACTCTTTAAAAACTTAAATGTATAAATTTTGTTGAAAATCCATATTAGCTAATTATTTCATATCAGAATTCCGCAGATAGAATTTCAAAAAGTAAAATTTGGCAAGTAATGTTATTTTAAGTGAGTATGATTAAAATGAAAGAAAAAAAGTCTAACAAATTTTGCTCTCTAAATAAATAATATATTAGGTATATAAATAAGATCATTAGGAGGTTATTTTAAGAAATCTAAATGATTAGTTTGAAGAGCACGTGGTGTAAAATAAGGGAAAATGAGATTGAGGACTTCTGCGTACATGTTGGCATCTTCTAAGAAAGGATGGTTATTATTCAAGAGAAGTGCATTATCCTCTTATTCGTTTGCTATAAACAAGATTTACTATCATGTCCAACCCAAACGTTTACTCTCTCTCTACTAAAAATATATGTTTATTAAATAATACATAATTTTATTAATTAATAATTAATAATATACAATTGTATTATTGTTATACATTAAATAAGTCATTAATAATATTAACAAAGATAATTTATAATAATTAATTATTAATTTTTTAATAAAACACCGTTATTACTATTAATAATTATTATTATTTTGAGGTAAAAATTTTACTTTAAATACAAATAAATATATAATATAAATATTGAAATTATTATTTTGTTGTATGAGTCGTTCTCTTTATTCCTTATGTTAATTAATATAATTATAATCTAGAATTTTTGTTATATTTCAAATCTTCTCACTGTCTTTTTTTCAAATTGAAGAACAAAAAGAAATCAACAATAGTAGATAATAATTGAAAAAACACTTATAAATAAAATTATCGACATGTTTGCGTCACAAATATTATTAAAACACGTGTGGATATAAAAACCTGTTAGACATTATAATGTTGAAAAAGTATATTTAAATAAATATGAAAATAATTAATAATCTTTACAAAATATTAAAAAAAAATTTTTTTTTCTTTAAAAAAGAAAATTAAATTTCGTTTTTTATAAAAAAGTAAGTATGAATTTACTGAATAAATTGAAGTGATAATAAATAAAATAAAGTGCAATAAAATAAAATAGAGTAAAATAATATAATAAAAGAAAATAAAACAAAAAAGAAGGCATTATAAAATAGAAGAAAATAAACTAAAAATAAAATAATTTCTAATAAATAATAGGTATATAAATAATAATAAAAATAAATATTAAGTAAATAATAATAAAAAAAATTTCTTAAAATTTTTATTTTTGAAAGATAAAAATAATTTAAAAATACAAGTTTTTAAAAAATTTATTTGTAGTGAAATTAATTGAGAATTGACTCCTTCCTTTTAATAACTATTAAAAAGAGAATAAGAACTATTAAAAGAGTCAATTCTCAATTAACTTTTTTAGGTTGTTCACCTAGAAAAATCTGATAAAAGTTATTTATTGAAAGATTTTCATTAGCTTTTTATTTGCTCTACTACCTCAAAGAATGTTTTTGCATGTTTTACAATTTATTTTTTATTGATGCCATCATCTGATAACGAAAAGTTTAATATTTCTGTAAATGAGATAAAAATTAACTTTCAAAAATTAACAAATTTATAAAAATATTTATTAATAGATTCATTCTTTATATTGAAAAGCTATATTTTTTTATTGCTTTAATCAATCTACACTTAATATATTTATTTATTACTCTATTTAGTTTAAATGTTTCTAAAAATTATTCAACAAACTATCTATGTCCATAGTTTCATTTTTTTTATTTTTTTATTAATTATCTTTTTTTTAATATAATGTTAAATATTATCTTATCTAATATGTTACTTTGTTGTTTTTAAATGAATATTTTTATTTTTACCTTTTTAAATATTTTTTTTATTTCTAATTTAATTTATTTTAATATATATATATATTTAATTATTTAACTAATAATTTAATAGTATCTAAATATAATTTAATTACTGAATTTCATAAATTGAATATAAAAATATTCTAAGAGTTTTTCTTTTCTATAAATTGAAGAACAAAAATAAATAAATGTAACAACTAAAATGTATATAAAAATGATACATAAAAGTAAATATATTATAAACTAGAGTTTTAAAAAATAATTAATAATATAAATAGTTAAACAATAGAATTAATTGTATAAACATTAAAGAATAAGTAATAAATAATTACAATCTTCAAATTGTTAAAAATTATATTAATTGCATATAGTTCAAAATTCTATAATTTGTTAAACAAATATTATTTTTAAATTTAGCGCATGTTACATATGTACATGGTCTTAAAATTCCTTAAAGAATATTATTTTTCAGATAACAATTATTATCAAATTGATCATTTTCGTGATAATATGTTGCGACTGGTTGTACTTTGATAAGTCTTCATCATAATATCATCAAAATGATTTATTCAAGATTGTACTTTCCATAAATGATGTGTTCATTTAAAGTGACTTAATTAGACTAAATAATTTTACAAGTAACTTTTCTGCGGTTTAGACTAATCTGAAGAATCTGAAAATAAAAAAAAGAAATAAGTACAATCCTTTTTTTTGTGAGACATTTTTTTGCTTGTTATTTAATAAAAATTTTCTAAAGAAATTAATAATTGAAAATAATTATGAGGATATATTTATTAGTATGTTTGACAATCTTGATTGTCGAAAATAGTACAGCAATTGGAGACGAAAATTTATTCAAAGGTAAGTTATTTCATTTTTTCCATTATTTTATTTGTTTTTATTAATGTACATATATTTAAATATTTTTTATTAAAATACAATGCTTTTTCGTATGTGTTTAATATAATTTTTATCTAGTAACTAACCTATTTTTACGATAACATATTTTCTTTCATAATACTTATTGTTTATAATTAATTCGGTATAATTAAGTTCCTATTTTGGTAAAAAAAATTATCTTTGCATACCTTATAAAATTATTATTGTTTTCTTTCTTTTTCTATCAATAAAAACTCAATTTTTGTGAATACTTATAAACACATAAGATTATTTTATTTTAGTTGAAAATAATGTCGCTGGTAAATCGGCCATGGATCAAAAATTAAAAAATTTCATAGAAGGACTTAAGGAAATGATGAAAAACGGAAATAAAACTTTAGGTGTTCCTCGTTTAGATCCTTTTCAATCGAAACCACTTGATATGGCTATGAATGCTGATGATTTTATGTAAATTAATTTTTCTTAGGAGTAAAGAATTTTTTGAATTATATTTTAAATTTAGATTTTTTAATAAATATATATTTTTCTAGGGGCAAATTCTTTACTTCGAGTGTAAGCGTTGAGGGTTTGTCAAATTTTATTGTAAATAGAGCTACATTAAAAATCGTAGGTTTAAAAATGAATATTTCTCTCGAATGGCCAAAAATTGAAGGAAAAATTTTAAATTATACCATATCCGATGGTCGACTAATGAATTTTGTCAACTTTTTTGGTCATGGAAGTGCAAAGTAAGTATTAAAACGTTTAAAATATTTTCTCCAATAAATTACGTAAAATATACAATTTATTAAATATTATAATAGTTACACCCAGAAAAAAGATATATTTCACTTAGAACCTACTAAACTTCTTACCTGTTTCAAATAAAATTTAAAAAAATAAATTTTTTCTCTGTTAAAATACTTAAAATATTTTCTTCAATAAAATAATTAAAGTTTTTAGTAATAAATTTTTATTTATAATTAATTTTAACTTAATTAGTTTAAAAATCTTAATTAATTCTTTTTAATTATTCAATTAATTTAATTATTCTTTTAATATTTAATTATTATTCTTTTTAATTAGATTTCATTTATTTTTAATCTAATTTAATTAAATACTTTTTAAATTAAATCCAATTAATTATAATTTCTTTTAGATTTCTCATTCAGGATATAAAATTTTCCATTGAAATGTCTGTAGCTGTTAATACGACAACCAAATTTCTTTTTATCAAGGAAGTACAAACTTCTATTTCCATTGGTGATGGTAAAAAAAATGACAATATTGAGGTATGTTGTTAAATAATATTTTTTATGATATTAAAAAAAATTGATATTAAAACTTTACTCAAATGTTACTAAAATTCGAAAATTTTAACAAATAAATAATGTTCTTTGCAGTTTTATACTGAAGGACTCTACAATGATCTTGAATTATCTCAACTGTTTAGTGGTGTCATTTCTGAATTAGCACCAGCGGCCTTTGATACTTATTACAATCAAATAATAAGTACATTAAATAAATTAATAACAGATGCTGGAAATAAATTTTTGGATAAAAAAACAATGAAAGATCTGTTAACACTTGTATCGTAAACGTGAAAAATTTTTTTTGAATTAATTTCCGTCACACTAATTATGTATACAGTACGAAAACCTACCACGTCAGTCATATCCCATGAGTGGGAGTGAGACAGACTTATGCGATTCCCATACTTTCCTATGACTGACGGATAGCTTTTCTTACTTTACAGGTGTTATTTTCAAATTATTCTAAAGACACATTATTCAAATAATTTAAAATTTATCAAACAGCCATCTTTTTTATTAACTTTTATTCTATGTAACAAGTTAAATATAATATATAATACAAAATTATTTAAATAACTGAAATTCATTTTTATTTAGTATTATTTTTAAATTATAATTAAATTATTTCATATTATTTTTAAACTGTTGCATAGCTACATTTTTTAAATAATTTAAAATTATTACTTCCTCATAGAGGAAGTATTGTAATACCAAAATTTTTCGGGTTCAATTTTTTGACATATCTTTATGTTATTCGACCTCAGGAGTTCAAAAATGTCATTCCGTATGTGTGTGTGTGTGTGTAAACATCACATTTTCATAAATATCTCGAAATCATGAAGAGCTTTTGGGTTGATTTTTTTTTAAATTGTAGATCTCACCTGCGGACATAAAATGAGAGTGCTTTGAGATAGATTAATAAAGTTTAACTAAATTTTTTTTTGGATTTTTAATTTTGTAAAAAACGTTTCTTGCCCATAACTTTTAAAAAATGTTAGGACACCTATAAATGTTTTTCCATAATTTTGTAGAGTTTTTTTAGACGCATCTTTTGAGCCCTAATTGAACATTTTTCGTCCATATTAACAGGAGATATTAAACTTTTAAAAATCAAAAATTTTGGAAAATAAGACTTTTTTGAAAATTTTGTTGAAAAATGTAGAAGTATGTAACTTTATAATTATCGTTACCAACTTGTAGAGCATTAAAAAACGCTTCGATTGACCTATTTTTGAACCCAAGTCGATAATAAATTTCGAAATTATTGGTATTTTAAAAACCAAAAATTGTGGAAAATGACATCTTCTCAACTTTTTTGTTTGAAAATTTTTGTTTAACTATTAAACTATTATAACTATCTTATAGGGTATTTAAAAATACATTTATTGACACAAAATTCAATCACTTTTAGGGAGTTTCGATTGAGCCTTCGAGCAAGACGGATGTGTTTAGAATTCGCTCCGTGTTTATTTACTTGATACTGTTAGATACAATTTTGATAAAGTTAAAATGACATCAAACGAGGAATTGAAAGACTTATTACTCAATATTCAAGCCAATACAAAAAACTTGAGTGACAAAATGGATGCAGTTGAAAGTGATCTAAAAGTGATAAGTGGTGAAAATGCTACTTTGAGAAAGGATATTGGAATGTACGGTGAAGTGATCAGTGCATTAAGAGAAGAAAATAGTGTTCTTAAAAATAAAATGAAAAAATGTGAGGAAAAATTAGAATTTTTATTCAATAAAGAACGAGCAAATAATATTATATTATTCAAAGTATGTGATACACCAAAAGAAAATGGTAATTTGAATGAAACAATAACTGAAATACTTCGTAAGGCAGAGGTCAATTATGACATAAAGGACATTATTTCTATTCAAAGAATTGGCAGAGTGGCAGGATCAAGACCCATATTAATAAAATGCATAAACTCAAAATGCAAAACCGAAGTTTTTCAAAAAATTAAAAACTTTGGAAATATGAAAATTGGAGTTTCCAGCGATCTGTCGAAAGAAACTAGAGAGAAAAAGAAGATTCTCTTTGAAAAACTTTTCAGATGTAAACAAACATTCGAGGAACAAGGAAAGATAGCAATCATAAGAGGCAAATATATCATTGTAGATAATAAATCATATGATTTGGATATGGCTTTGAAGTTAACTCAACGTGCAGGACAAACAACTTCATCGAACATAAATTATGAGAGCGATGATTCTGATCATTCCACTGCTTCGGTTTTGTCTACAGCAAGTAGAAAAAGAAGTAGACCAATTGGATCCAAAACACCTGCTGAAAGTAAGATGAAGAAAATGAAAAGTAAAAACAACAATAGTACAATTGACAAATATTTAAACTCAACGAAACAAAAAGAAACAATGGAAAATAAAGAAGAGGCATAACTAGTAGCAACACAAGGAAGATTACTACTCTGGAATGCTCGTGGCTTGCGGAATTTAACGGATCTACTACCAATAATAAACGAAAATGATATTGTTTGTATAAATGAAACATGGTGTACCGAAAATCCCGCAATATTTACTTCGAGATTTCTACCGGAATATGACGTCATCTTCAGCCGAGCAACAAAGGTGGCTACAAAAGGCAGAGCGAAAGGCGGTTTACTAATAGCATTCAATAAGAATAAGTATGTCTCTCAAAGTCTTTTTTTATCTGAAGAATGTATTTTCGTTGAAATTCATAATGGAAGTTTTAAATTTATATTAGGTTTTATTTATGTAAGTCCTAGCTCTGATTTTCAAAATTTTTTAAGGTTATTAGACGATCAGATTAACATAATATCTTCAAAATTCCCCTATTTACCAATGTACATTGGTGGTGATTTTAATTCAAGAGTAGGCAATCTTAATCAAATCTCAGATGAATCAATTTTAAATAATGAAAATTTTTCAATTGAAAGATGTAGTTTGGATATTAAATGTGATAGTAGGGGGGTTAAATTGGTAACTAACATGGAGAGAAATGGCTTTATTTTAATAAATGGAAGATCAAAGAGCGATTGTCCAGCAAATAACACTTTTGTTAACATGAATGGGAAATCGACAATAGATTTACTCTGGTCAAATATTAATGGTATCAATAACATTGTAGACCTGCGGATTGATGACCTTATTACGTCATCGGATCATTTTCCAGTAATCATTTCTATGGACACAATAGTTGAACTCGCGAAAAATTCTTGGAATTTAAAATGGAAGGATAATAGAAAAAATGAATATCATGAATTAATGCAACTATGTCAATTTAAAAAAAATAACAACATTTCTATTGATAAACTGGAAAACGATCTGATTTCAAACATAAAAAATAGCGCGAAAGATTTGGGAATGAGTAATAGGAATAATAGATATAAATATGGCATCACCAAACCATGGTTCGATGAAGAATGCATCTCCTTTAAAAAAACAGTTAAAGAATTATTGAAAGAATGTAAGTGTTTGGGATTTAAAGATTACAATTTGTTAAAATTATACAACGAAAAGAAAAAAGAATATAAAAAAATACAAGTGTATAAGAAAGAAAAATTCAATGACACTCTATTAAATCATTTAATGATGGCCAGGGATTCAACGACATTTTGGAAAATTGTAAATAGATATAGATCACGTCCTAGGATACAAGAGCATATAAACTTAGATGAGTGGTACAAATTCTTTAGAACATTACATTCGAACTCCGAAAAAACCTCTTTAGATAGGGAATATAAAGTTATTTCAATGATAAATGGCAATCCCCTTCTGGAATCACAAGTTACTATATATGAAGTATTAGAAAGCCTTAATAAATGTAGAAACAATAAAACTCCAGGATCGGATGGAGTAGCCTTTGAATTTTTAAAAAATTTACCACAAAATTGCATAGAATATATGACATATTTATTTAATAGAATTATGGAAAAAGAAGAAATTCCTTACTCTTGGTCAAATATAATATTAAAAATGCTACACAAAAAGGGAGATAAAAGCGACCCAGCTAATTACCGACCAATTGCATTGGTAAATTGTTTAACAAAAGTCTTTACACAAGTGTTATCAGGCAGGGTAAATAGTTGGGTTGAGTCGAATGGTCTCATAGGTGAATGGCAAGCAGGATTTAGAAAAAATCGTAGTTGCTCGGATCATATTTTCACATTGAACGCTATGATACAAAATAATTTGGGGCAGGGCAAGGGTAAACTTTTCGTCTTGTTCATAGACTTCCGTAGTGCTTTCCCCTCAGTCTCACACCATCTCCTATGGGAAAAAATTTACAAATTAGGATTAGGGAAAAAAATTATAAATATTTTAAAGAATTTATATACTAAAGCCACAATAGCGGTTAAAGGATCAAATGAAAATTCGAAACCTGTAGGAGTAAAGGTTGGAGTTCTACAGGGGGAAGTCCTAAGCCCGATTTTGTTCTCTTTATTTATTACAGATTTTCAGGATTTTTTAATGAATGAGGGTATTAGAGGAGTCTCGATAGACCATCTAACTGAGATCCTGCTGCTCGCCTATGCAGATGACATTGCTGTCCTATCCGATTCTGTTGTTGGTATGAGAAAAATTCTGAAAGCTTTGCACAAATACTGCCTTTTGAATAAACTTGAAATCAATGTTAATAAAACGAAAATTGTGATTTTTAGGAGGGGGGGTCATGCTCATGATAAAAAATGCGGTTTATTTATGTATGGAGAAGAAAATAATATAGAGATTGTTTCGAATTACACTTATCTAGGCATCCCTTTTTCCAACTCTTCAGTTTTTTCAAGGGCCGCAGACTCAGCTGTTTTCAAAACATATATTGCTCTAAATTCTACTGTTGCACTTATAAAAAGAATGAAATTGAATTCTTGGCTGCCAATTAAAAAATTGTTTGACAGTTTGGTTGTTAGTATATTAAGTTATGTAATCTTTGTATGGGGCCTAAGATACATGGAGGAAATTGAAAAGATCCAAACTTCATTCTATAAAAAAATTTTAAATCTCCCATGTTCAACACCAGGATATGCTATAAGAACAGAAACTGGATCTAGCAAATTGTCAGTAACTTGTTTTAAATTAGTTTTAAACTATATTGAAAAAATTCTAGAAATGGACAACTCTCGATACCCAAAAATTTGTTTTCTTAAATTAAAAAAAATTGCAGAAAAGGGAGATATAAAATTATATAGATTCAATTGGTATATGCAGGTACAAAAAATATTTGAATTAATAAATAGAAGAATGGATCTTGACAATATTACTTCTGAATCGATACAGAGAAACAAAATTATATGGATTAAAGAATATGAAAAATTATTGTACGACGAGGACTTAGCCCGTACGAACGAGTCAAGGTCATTACAGGTATTACCTCACTTAACGAAATGTGAAGGGCTTCAAAAACATCTGTGTTTGAAACTCCCCCTAGAATATCTTAGTGTAATATCCCAAATAAGAGTATTAAACAGATACCAAAGTAGGATAATAATTAACAAAGAACTACTTGACTTGAGAACTGAGGAGATCTGTGATGGCTGTGGCTCCAATGTTGTTGAAAAATTTTACCATTTGTTGGTTGAATGTGTGTGTTATAATAATGAAAGAAATAATTGTCTCGGTAATTTTGAGGACGAAATTGAAAAAAAAAATGCTCTACTCGAAATATTGTGTAACCCACAGTGTGAGACTGTAAAGAAAATTTACTCTTTTATAAAAGCAATAATACATAAGTAAACGAAAGAAAATGATTATCCGTCGAAACTCCTTTGTATAGACTAATGTCTTCAAACAAATAAATTATTATTATATTCAATCACTTTTACCATATTTATAAAAAGTTATTCATATATTTCTATTATTATTACCTCTATGAGGAAGCAAAGTGTTCATGAAATGAGCACCAAAATTATAAAAAAAATATGCAACTTGGCAGCGGTTTTTTTAATTGATATGTTCAAACTATTCTATAGATTATTAGTTTATTTAGTAATATTAGTATAATAAAATTAAAATAATTTGAAATTGATATCAAGAAAAATATTCCACACATTTTATTTTCTTATGCGGAGAAAGCTTTGTTTAATATAATTAAATGTAAATAAATCTTGATGAATTTTGAAAATACATATATGTAATATTGAAATTTATTTCAGTGAAAATTTGTACACATTTTATGATTCATTAATGCCACCCACGCATTATATTGTCTTGGAAAATTGTCATAGACGTTTACACGTAAACTGTTATCGAAAGCAAACAGAGACGACAAAAAGTAAAAAGATCGTTGCTCATAAAAGATAATTCAACTTTTAATGATTCATACACATGACATTCACCTTTTGCATATGTATACTAACTGCAAGAAATTTTTTTAATGGTTAACCATATGAATAAAAAACTATTTTTAAATACTATATTAACATATATACATTTACTATGTTTGAAAATAATTGTCAACACAAACATTTTATCCTTATTATCCTTCATTATAGAAATCTATACAATATTGATTTTTAAATTGTTACATTAACAATCTTTGTATGTTTTGTAGATTTTTTAATTTACTCTTTCATTTTTTATTAAAGATTCATGATTAATAGATTATACCAGTGAATTGTCAATAAATGATATTTGGCTAAAATATAATAATCATTTTAATAATGATATATAACCGATCAGACTTTCCTATTGTGGACAACAACAAATTTTGCCACAATCACAGGATGGGGAAAAATTGAAGTAAAAATTAAGTTTTACTAACACACTGAGAAAACATTATGTTAACTTTTTTATAACCCTTTTAATTAAAAAAAATATCATAACATTTTTAGAATGAAAAAGAATTTTTGGTTTAAGTTATAAACATATAAACATTTTAAATTTTTAACTGTGCTAAATAAATATTTTTTTCTCTGGTCCATGTTAACCTAATTTAAAAAATAAAAAAGTTTTTTTTTCGTTTTAAAACCTAGAATTTAAATATATTTCTTATTTTAAAAAATATCTTTCTTTTAATTATTTATTTTTAAAATAATAATAAAATCACTTTTCTCCACGTTCTATGCAAAATTAAAAAATCCTGTCGTATTTTCCCCACATTTTTAAGTAAAAAACCGTTAAGAAAAAAATGTCTCGCTTTGAGGAATTATGCACGGGGTGACGTAGAGATTTGTTTATGATTTAAATTAATACATTTAAATATTCAATTCGACCATTTGCATTAAATTCCGTCCAAGAATTTCTCTATTTTTCATGACCGCTAATTTTCTTAAATCTCAAAATTATCTTATGGGGAAATTCTGTCAAGTCGAAACCGTGATGCAAAATGGTCCTCTGGACAACGAACAACCAGACGAACTTTTCTAGACGCTACCAAACTTACTCTACTCTCTCTAGTATTGTCCTCCGGTCCTCAATAATCACGAACTCATTAAAACACCAATTAAACAAAAAAAACAATTTATTAATAAAAACTAAAACTCAAATTAATCAACAAAAACTCTACAATTAATTAATAAACTGTCTCGAAAATATCTCAAATTAACACTCGTCATTGCGTCACGACTTCTTGGAGCTCCGCAAGTAAATGTCGATCCATCTGATTGTCCCCGCGGTAGGCTTCCACATTATCAATTCGTTTCCTTGTTTTTTCTTTGTAATTTTTGGAAGAACCCTTCTTCCTTATCCCCACGGAATGGCACTGGAAAGAGACTAGGAAAAAGTCACCGACCACGTGATGTGCGCTGACAATTAATCATGCGCAAAATCATTCAGATTTTACTAAAATCACAGCTCTAAAGCCGGTGAACGAAAGAAAAGTACAAGAGACTTGATAATAAACGAGACAGACCTATGATAAGAGAGACAGACGAACGACTCCTTAAAACGGTTAGAAAAAATATTTAATATTGTTATTCCTCAAAGCGAGCCATTTTTTTCTCAACGGTTTTTACTCAAAAATGTGTGAAGAATACGATAGTACATTTTAATTTTTTACAGAACGTGAAGAAAAGTGTGATCCGTTTGTCAGTCTGACTCAATTATTACACAAAAGTGACAGAAATTTCTTAACAGTTTCAGTCATCAATAATTTCTATCATCACTGTAAAATTTATATTTCTCAGATTAAAAAAAGAAATGTTGTCAAATAATAAATGACTATCAAATTAATTCAATAAACTGATTAAAGTATTCCATTTTCAAATTAAAATTAAAATCTTGCAAAGAGAAATCATTTTTGTGAATGTATAAAATTAAAATTGTTTAGTACTGCCAATCTAAAATAAAAAAATCGAAAGTCAGTTCTGAAATGGCAAATAAAATTGCACTGAGAGACATTGATGGTAAGATTTTTACGTTAAAAAGTAGATGTTACCCGGTACCATCATTATGTTACTGAGTACCATCAAAGATGTGATAAAATATGGTTATGTTACCCACTGCAATCAAAAATGTTACTCCGTACAATCTGATTGTACCTGATATAATCTAGATAGCTCTCCGCATTTGTAACATCAAGGATGATACCCCGCACCATCATTATGTTACCCAGTAACATATCTTTCTCTCAGTGTGGGAGAATCTCTACCCAGCCAAATGCTTTTTTGAAACGGCACGATTTTTACGAATAGTCTGAATTGGCACGATCTGTGAAAAATTCGCTAAGTTATAGAGAGCAGAATTGAATATGAATAATTCATAAACTTTTTGTTTTATTTCTTTCATAAGGGTGATTAAGGTGGTTTTATATCATCAAGAGCGTTTTATATCATCGAGATTGGATCAAAATGAAAACAGGAATTTAACAAAGAAAAATTTCTATTATTATCCGAATTTCGCCCTAATTAACTTTGGCCCATAAATTAATACACAGTGCCACACTATTCAAAATTTACAAAATAAAAAAAAAATGAAATAAATAAACAAAATAAAATATATAAAATAAAAGAAAATTATTACGAAAAGTGCTTTATTTACATTGAGGTCTACGTCGTCGGACTTGGTGTATGGCGGTGAATTTCCCTTATAAATTTTGGAAAGAAAATGAGAAAGAAAATTAGTGGGACTATCATTTAATACCGTGCCAAGATTTCTCTCAACTCGACCGATTCTCCGAATCAATCACGTATTTCCCCGACATATGTAATTGTTCGCCGAAGTTTGTAAATTATCATGCAACCAACAGGTTGCCTAAATACAGGCGCACCGATATTCGTAAGCCCCGCAACATTATTAAAGAATTTTCTTTCAATTATTTTAGTTAATAGTATACAAACATTTTTGACTAAATAAAATTTCTGAAAAATACTTTTTTTAAACAGAAAAGTGGTTCGCTCTATCTTTAGTATTGTCAGTTGCGGTCATAACTCATAAAATCTAAGATAATTTACGTAGATCCGGCAAGGGTTGAGGTGACATGTGAACTAACTATAAAATACCATTAGGTAGTTAGAAAGAAACGCAGATATTTATATCCATTTCTTAATAATGAACTTTTTAAGTTAGTCCCCATGTCACCATGACCCTTGCTGAATTTAAGTAAATTATTATCTATGATAATATTTTATAGTCTCTCAACCTGCGTACCCATGAAATATCCATTTTTATCCATTGTAAACCTTTCTTTCAAGTGCCAATACATTTTTATTTAAACTAACTTCTTGCTCACCGTGAATTAACATTTTATTGAAGAAAAAAAAGTGGATTTGATACATTTTTCGAAAAACAAAGAAGAGGAAAACTATTTCCTAATATCTATTGTTCTTTTATAGTTCTTATCTACTCTTGTTTCTTCTTATACACAGATTGTGTTTATTTTATTAATATAAAAGGAAAGATAAGACTTCTAAAAGAGAGACACTTGATTAAACAAAAGCACAAATTATTTAAACATTGCGTGTATGTGAACATAAAGAGAATTGCTTTCAATCGTTTGTTATAAAAACAGTATTTCCCACTGATTTTCTTTATCAATTTCTTGTTAACAATCTATTCAATCAGCACAATAATAGTGCATCTCTTACAATGAACATCGTTTATCGCAAAACTTGTATTTTGATAAATTTTCTATTGACATGTGAGTTAATGAAAAAAAAATTTTTTTCTTAAATTATTTTTGATACCAAAGAATATTTATCATGTAAATAAATAAATATTAATTGTATTACAAATTTTTTTTCATTTATACTTTTTTTAAAAATATATCTTTCCTTAAAAGTTTATTAAATGTAAATATATTGACCAAAAAATAAATTATATAACTGAAACAAATTTTTCTAATTGGAAAATGGAAATACTTTTAAATTGAACATTTAAGAAAATTAATTTTATTAAAAAATATGTTTATTGTGTTTTTTAATTGATAATAAATTACCAGTGAATTGTCAAATAATATTTGGCCAAAATAGAATAATTGGAGGAGATGAAACAACAATCGAAACATTTCCATATATGGTAAGATTAATATAAAAAGAATTAGAAATTTTTTGTTATTAAACTTTGTTTGGTAGACAATGTTAGATAAAAATTTTCTTTTTTAATAATAAATTAATAAGAATACTAAAATAATTAAAATTAATGGAAACATATTTTTAATTATTTAATTTAAATACATTTCAGTTACGTCTTCAAATAGGTAGAACAACTGGTCGTGTAAGAGGTGTTTGTGGTGCTGCAATTATTGGTAAAGAATGGGGAATCACAGCAGCACATTGCTTTGATAAGTGAGACTTTATGTAGAGATATTTTTTTAAACAATTTGAATTTAATATTTATTTTACAAAACAAAATTTAATTATGTAACGTGAACCGAAGAAAGGTACATAAGAAGCAAAAAATGTTAGGTTATGTTTGTAATTATTGGAGTGAAAATACACAACTCTGATGGTTACATCTTCATTACACTTAAAATAATTATTGAAAACTAATTTTAGTTTTTACAATTGAACAGAAAGTTCTAGTTAAGGTAAAAGTAACACAAATATAACCTTAAAATGATTTGCTTCTTCAGTATCCTTCTTCCGATCGCATCACATATTTATTTCAATAAATAAAATTTAAATATTCATTTTAATAAATCTTTTAATAATTTTTTTCTGTAAAGCCCAGAGACAGACTTTGATAAAATAAGAGTGATAGCTGGTACTACTGACATAAAAAATTTATCAATTACTGCAAGAGAACATAAAGTAATTGAAGTAATACGACATGAACTTTATAGTGGAGTAAACGTTGAATCGAGTATTGGAGCCGATATTGCTGTAATTAAAGTCAGTCCACCATTTATTTTTAATAATGCAATACAACCAGTCAAATTACCCGAAAGTGGACAACCTTTAAAAACCAATTTTGCCACAGTCACAGGATGGGGAAACATTGAAGTAAAAATTAAGTTTTAGTAACGTTTACTCTAATATACACCGTAGTGGGGATAACATGAGTAAGAGAAAAATTTGATTGTTTCCTTCTAACTCCCATTATCTCCACTCCAAAATTAAGAGAGAGGCGGGACATAAGCACCATAGTGAGAATAAGAGAGGAATTTCATACTTACCTTCTCACTCTCGTTATCCTCACACTGCACTTCTAACAATAAGAATTTATCGATTTTTAAACATAAATATTAAACTTAATCGACGATGTAATAACTTTCAAATTATGTAATTTAAAGCGAGGTGGACCAAGTTCGGCGATATTACGATTTGTCACATTGCCAAAGATAAATACTGAAACTTGTAGAAGAAAATATCTGGAAAGAGATATAAAATTGAAACGTGGAGAACTTTGTTATGGAGTTAATGATGGAATAAATGTTCAAGATAAGTGTCAGGTATGAAATAATGTCTAACTATTCAATCAATTAGAAATTAATCAATGTCAATATTATAATTAATTTAATGGGTGTACTTCTGAAAAGCGCATACCTCCGATTTTAACGAAAGTTGGTATATTTACGTAATTTTGTGCCCTGATTACAAAAATCATAGTGAAAATTGGCGACTAGGTCATCTTCATGGTAAAAACCATAAAAAATACCATAAAATTGTGGTTTCACCACAAATTATAATTAATATTAATAAAAATTAAATTTTTTCTATTCTGAAAGTAAAGTTAATTACATTTTCTTTTCAGGGTGATTCAGGTGGTCCATTGGTTAATTCCGACTATCAAGATATTGGAATAATTTCTTGGGGCATTGCTTGTGGAACTGTAGGGTTTCCTGGAATTTACACTGACATTCATCTTTTTCGCGACTGGATTAAAACTAAGACAAGAATATAATAAATTAATTACATATTATAATTAATTAGGAATGATGTTAAAATTTGTACTCCGAAGAGAAAAAACTTTCCTTTAAAAAACCGTCAAATAAAAAAAATCCAGTTTCATGGTGGGACAAAAATTGTAATAAAATAAAGTGACTAAGGAAAGTTAGTTATAAAAACTGGGAATTTTTTAAAAATATGGTTGATCTTATAGAATATAAAAAATAAGTGCTTTGTCAAAAGAAACTTATAAAAAAAGAAAAGAGGGATTTAGCAAATTTTCTGAAGGTATTAAATTTCGTACAGATTGTATTTATGTTTGGAATAAATATAAAATTTTAAAAAATAAATAGATTGAAGTTTCACCTCTCCACACTTCCGAAAACTTTGTTGTAAGACGGGCCAGACGGGTTTTCCCCAATTTGGCGCCGAAAAGAAAAACAAATTACGTGAATGGCAAGCGTCCCATTCAACGTAATTGTGAGCTATGATGAGTCATCACCTCACACCATAGCTCTTTCTCTCTCGCACCAACGGCGCATACCCCGGGCCCGCCGATGACAATAAGCGACCTTCGCAACTTTGCCATAAAGTAGTTGCGTCTCTCTCTCTCTCCAATGGGTTTCTCTCTCACACCAATGCGGAGGGATACAGCCCATTTTCACGGCAATAACTTTTTCCGGTTTTAAAGCAGTTTAGGAGGAATTAAAGAAAAATTATAAGAAATTCTTTTTTGAAAATCGTTTTGTTGTTCCTGCGTCGTTTAATTTTAATTTTTTTTGCAATAAATAAATTCAATAAGATCTACATTAATTAAGAAAATTAAATAAGTTAAGAATTCAAACTAAATTATACTAATTAATTAGTAATACGAAATCAAAGGAATTTATTCGATTGAAATTAGGAATAATGAGTAAAAAGAAAAATGTTGAATAAATACTAAGTACGTTTAAAATACGATATTTAAATGGGATAATATTATTCCCATTATAACTATATAATGTCTTTTAATTTTTAATTTTAATGTACACGAACGACTTCGTACACTATTTTATTGGTTTTTTTTTGCTTTGTTATCACAAATAAATTCAATTACTGCAATTTTCTTTTAGGCTATATAAAAAATTTACGAGTATCTATGTAAGAATAATGATTGTAAGAATTGTCAAAATTGTAAGGCGATGAGGAATTGATGGACAGACAAGTCCTGTATTGGCAAGACGAATCCTCGCCCCCTCCATTGGGAGGATCCCCTCCATTGTAAAACCAGCGGTTTTACAGTGTAAATGAATAAAAGTGAACTAAGTGACGCAATGGGCCGACCGAGGACCGAACAGGAGTTGATTCGCCGCAAGGAGCGCAGCCGCGCCCGCCGCCAGGAGTTCCTTGCCCGTAAGCGGGCTATCCAGGAGGGCCCACCGGAATTCTACTTGGCCTTCCTCAGGAGCAAAGGGGCCCAAGCGATTACCCCAGCATTCACGTCACTTCTCTACGCCAGGGGGCACCAGGAGGCGCCTCCCCCAGAGATCGAAGTTCAGGACCTAACCTCGCCCACCGTACGAAGGGCCGAAATTGAGGTGATCACGCTCGAAGACGATCCAACGGACCAGCTGCTCACGACCGGGATGAACGCACCCGAACAATTGCCGACGCCGTTTTTCCCCGAGGAGGAAGGATATCGCCCAAAGGGAATCCCACCCCCGGGTTCCCCGGTCGAATATTCACCGACGCCGTTAGACCTGCTGGTTCCGTGCGATTTCACGGATGAACAAGTGAAATGGCAACTAGATGACCTCTTAGCCGAGTTGGACAAGGCTCACTACGTCGCCCCTTCCCCACCATTGGTTTTGACGCCGAGGAAGGAAGACAAGGAGAATCGGCCACCCACCGGTTGGCGCTGTCCCGAGAGGATCCACGTTCCATCAGATCATGGCACGGCCCCACGTACGGGTTTGACAACGTCTCCACGGGAACATCACGGCCCCCGAAGTCTCCCTCGAGTAAGGAGCATCGAGACGGTAGCGAAGGGCCAGACCCTGATCATACCGACCGAGGCGACGGTGACGACGCTCCAGGACCCCAGGATTCGAAAGATCTCCCCTTTGGCAAAACTCGCCGCTGACCTGGCCCTCAGCGATAGTGCCAGCGACAAGGACGTACTCGAGCTATACCCGAGGTCCCCGATCACCAGGTCTCCTTCATCTAGGGAGGTCCTCGTACCCCGGGTCCAGCCTTCACGGACACAGCTTCTCTCCACGACGAGGAGGGACCTGGATCTGCCGATCTTGGTCAAAGCCCCCCGGCTCCCGTCCCTGTTGGAAATCCCTTACGAAGGACGGGAACTGGTCACACACACAACATCGAGACGAGTTAGGGACAGGCTCCGCTCGCCCCGGTCGACCTTGGCCCCTTCGAGCGCCGAGAAATTTTGGACACCCGCCCGGAGAGCCAGGCTTGATCGCCTGACTGAGGATTTTTATCGTCGGTTTCAGCGACCCAAAGATCATAATAATAATAATACCGGGCGAATTCGCCCAAATTTTATAAAGGGAAAGAACTAACGGGGGTTGACAGAATATATTTCATGATTATTTAACTGATGCTTGTTATGATTGACTATTCCCTCAACTGTTTCATTAAACTCCTTCAATTGATTTTAACATTTTCCCATCGTCGTTAATACTCGGTTCACCACTCGGCCTTTGGTTCGTCGCCCTTCCCAAAAATATGTTGGACATCACAATATCACACACGGCAAAGAGTCCGTGACTCTCTCGATATATTATAGACTGGTCTCACGAACTCAACTTAATTCACGCGTCTTTCTCGCTCTCATTAGCTGACACCACCCCCCCCAGAGGTAATTCGACCCTCTGATTGGTGGCCCTTCCTTTAAAGGTACGCCGGATAACAACACAATACTGCACACGACGAGATCAAGACCCAACGTTCGATTTTCCCCGATTTTTTTTTATTCGGGACTTTACTATTTTGGACCGGGACATTCATAGGGACAGGCCGAACCCCACCGGAGACTCCGTCCATCACTTCGGTATCACCTTCACTCCCCCCCCCTAATGATCCAGCATTAGCTCTACTACAGGTTTGACCGCACGTGTCTAGTCCCTGTCTCATTTTTCTTTCCCCGAAGGAGAAAGCCCTTATTGTCCCGTCGACACATCGGCGGGGCAAGCTCACCCTCTCTTCTTAGGATTGAGTCGACAGACCCCGGTTCTTCCGCACCCCCGTGATTATTACTACACCCAACGAATGTCCATGTCTTTTTTTTTGGTGTACATCGTGGACTCTCTTAAATCACTTTCTTGTGGTGTTTTTATTATCACGCACACAGACACGGTCGCTCGTCCCTTCTGTATCTCCCTCTCCGTCTTCGGCGCTAACACAATTACTACACATAACGAAAGTCCTCGCCGCTTTTCCGTGTACATGGTGGACTTTCCATTTTCTTCCACTTATCCTGTGTTACCCTCACACACCCCGATACAATCGGCCATCCCCTACATCGCCTTCCCCGCCCCCGGTACCGAGCGACACTGTCCGCGACCAAGTGTCCGTGTTCTCTCTACACATTCATAGTAACTCTCTCATTCGGCGTTCATTATCCCGCACGCCGGCACTCATCCGTGTCTTGCCGACACGATCCTAACTCGTCGGTCAGCCGACCATAATCACGCGCTTCCTCGGGACTCTACGGGCCGTTTCCGGTCCGTCCGCCGCCCCCTCGTAAGGATTCACCTCGCCTAAGGACCGAGGATCTTCATTCTTTATCTTCCTGAGACAACATCAACGTTTACTCCAAACCGTTCCACGCCAGGACACACCGGGAACGTAACAACTTACAAATGGAAAATAAGGAAGGCTTTAAATAAAATAGAGATAGAGGTGAGAAAAAAAAATCTATTATAAACATTCTTTTCGTTTGAGTAACTAGAAAATTTTTGTAGATAACAAGATACAATATGGATAAAGATACCGACACTATGGTGAGTCCATCCACTAAACAACTGCCACCTACAATAAACCCTCAGTCTCTTCAATCACATCCTCCCAGAGGAAGAAGAATCGCACTGCTCGACAAGCTGCTAATAAATCAGTTGATAGTACAGCCTCTGAAAGAATTCTTCCCAAGAGACCACTATTAAATAATAATATACCTTTACCAATGGAAGTTAGTAGTCATCCGACTCCGTCAACATCCGAAAGTGCGACAAACAATCCCCCATTCTTAGATTAGTCAGGTGTAGGATCAACAGGATTTAATATGTCTTAATGATAAAATTCCCCAGTCAAATACCTTTACTGGTCATAATTTCCCGCTTTATGTCCACATGATGGAAAGTACAGTGGCGGGACGTAATGTAGGTAAATACGGTCCTATTAGTATTATAGATCTTCTTTCTCCCTTAATTAGGGGTAACAAAACAATCACAAGAAATGGAAGAAACCAATTTAAGATTTCCTGCGACGATAAACAAAGTGCTAATTCTTTAATAGCTTCTAGGGAATTCTAGGGATTTATTCCTAAAAAAGAAGGGTTTCACCACTTGGTTTCCTTATTCTCGTTCAATCAAAGATATTGTCACGTTGGGCTCGGATAGCTACTTGAAAAAGATCACAAGCATTAGGAGAGTAATAGACGAAAAAAACACTATTTAGGATAAGGTTGGATTCACATTTAATGGACCCATTATTATAATTAGGTCCAACTTGGTAGACAGGAATTTGGCCTTATAGATAGCGAACTGAAAGAGTTTTTCAAAGAAAAGAAGCAGTCGTATGTCAAATTTTGCAATTCACTTAACCCCTCCATGGGTTCTGAAGAAATATGGTAAAATTATCAACTTTGTCTCCTTTATAGAACAGTCAAAAAATCTATTTTTTCATTTGACACCGAAAACTACAAAACTTCCTATATCAGGGTACCTCAAGGGGGTGTATTATCCCCCCTTCTCTTTAATATAGCAATTAGTAAAATTTTCCAAATTATCCCTCACAATATTAAATGTCTAATGTTTGCAGGCGATTTATTGCTATATATTAGGTTTCAAAATGCAGGGGATTCTATTAAAGAACTAAAGGAGACATTATTAATGCTAAGACCTTGGCTTCGTGAAGTGGGTCTCTCTATTTCCCCAAGTAAATCTCAGTTGGCTGTATTTGAAGAAGAAACAGAAATTTGACAATCTCTATCTAGAACATGATGAAGAGAGAATTATTATGCAGGAGGAACTATTGTACCTAGGAATATTCCTGGATAGAAGGCTTATCTGGTCTAGACATATAAATGAGATTGCACGTCGTGTTGGACTTGCTATCAACATCATGCAAG